CCTCCGCAAGTGGTTGGGTTTGGCAAATTACTTGCACAAGTATAGCCACAACTATGCGGAAGTGGCTAGGCCATTGTCAAATCTCCTTAAAAAGGATGTGGAATGGTGTTGGAACACCGAGCACCACGAGGCTTTTGAAGCCATTAAGGAGAGTCTCCTTCAGGCGCCAATTCTGGCCCTGCCTGATCCTGATCGCCCGTTTAGCGTTCGTATGTGACGCTTCGGACTTTGCCATTGGCAGTGCATACTTGCAAGTTGAATCTGAGGGTTGAGAACGCGTCATCGCGCTTGAGTCTCGCCAGATTAAAGCTGCAGAGAAGAACTATCCAGTTCATGACAAGGAGCTACTTGCGATGAAGTATGCCCTTGTTAAGTTCAGGGTACACCTGTTGGGCTCAAAGCCGTTTGTGATCTATACCGATCATGCGTCATTACGCACAGCGACACAGTCGCCTCATCTCTCGCAGAGAATGGCTCGTTGGCTCTCCTTTTTCGCGGAGTTTAACTCTGAGGTGATGTATAAGCCGGGAAAACAGAATGTTTTGGCTGACGCGTTATCGCGTAGACCTGACTATGAGCTTGCTCATCTCACTGTTGTGAGTTCGTCAGTTACGGATCGTATCCGTGTGGCGTATGCACGCAATGAGGCATGTGTTGCCATTCTGCAGGCGCTAGGTAGCGCAGAGTTTGAAAACTCAAAGGCGAAGTTGTCACCACGTAATCGTGCGAGATTACATCGTTATGCACTGACCGATGGTCTGTTGTACTATATATAGTACAGGGTCGGATGACCAGCCTCGTGTTGTGGTGCCTCATGATGAGGACCTCAAGTATCAGATACTTTATGAGGCTCATGATACACCACTTGGTGGTCATTTAGGTCGTGAGAAGACCTACAGCTCGGTGAGCACCCATTATTGGTGGCCCAAGTTGTACAAATGGGTTGGCACTATAGGTACGCACATGTGATACGTGTCAAAGGGTGAAGCCCTCGCCTAATATGGCTGCGCCTTTGGCGAGTTTGCCTGTACCCTCGGGGTTGTGGCAGTCCATTAGTATGGACTTTGTGTTTGGCCTACCGCGTGATGCGGCAGGCAACACTGGGATTGTGGTCTTTGTTGACCGGCTGAGCAAGATGGCTCACTTCGCGGCAGTGCCGGACTCCATTGATGGAAAAGGAACAGCTACGCTGTTCATGGATCGTGTGTTTCGACAACACGTATTGCCTGTGGCAATTGTCTCGGATAGAGACCCCCGTTTTACGGGTAAGTTTTGGACATCCGTCTATAAAGTGCTCGGCACTCGACTGGACATGTCCACGGCGGATCATCCGCAGACCGATGGTCAGACAGAACGCGTCAACCGCGTTATTGGCGATATGCTTCGCAATTTTTGTGCTGAAACACCCAAGCAATGGAGCATGATGCTCCCTCTCACAGATTTTGCATTGAACAACGTGGTGCATACCTCGACAGGCTTCACCCCAGTCTATGTGAATGGTTTGGTCAACCCTCGTGTTACGTTAACGCTACCCCCTGCCACATCAGGGCTTAGTGGGGGGGAGATAGCGGAAGGCTTGGCTGATATAAGCCCTGTTGCTATGCGCAAAAAGGTGAAAGCGTATCTGTAAACGCGTTTTGACGTATTACGTCGCGTCAAAGACGCTATGTCAGTGTGATAGATACTACCATAGGGAAAGACTTTATGGCTGAAAGCAAAGATGTTAAAAAGGAACATGCGGATGCTAAAGGCAGAAAGAACGAACACGATTTCAAAGTGGGATGTTTAGTTTTATTAAACGCTAGGAATTTACCTACTCGCGCTTTTTCTGCGGTATATAAAACCAAATTGCGTCCACGTTTTATTGGACCTTTCAAGGTCATAAGCAAGAAAGGTTTAGCCTATACGCTGAACCTTCCGAAGAAGATGCGAACACACCCTGTGTTCTACGTGGGTTTGCTAAAGCCATATCTCAACCCAGCCTCGGTGGACTTCGAGGGGTTGTCCCCATATCCCCAGCCGAAGGAGGCGGGAAGTACTGCACCGGAGGTGCATATGGACGCTGAAGGCGTATAAAAAGATCATGGATCGATGGGTCACCGACCTCCGCCAACGCTGACTGATGAGCTTGGTCATCAACAGTTTCACGTCGAGCGTTTATTGGCGCGACGTCTTCATCAGGGTCACACCCAGTATCTGCTAAAGTGGAGGGGGTGCCCTCAGTCGTATGACTCATGGGAGTACGAGGTACCCCTACGGCAAGACTGCCCGGACGTCGTTGAAGCTTTTGATCGGGAAGATCAGAAGCGGCGACAGCAGTCGCCGGATTCTTCCTAGCACTAAGTGCTGTGGAAGCAAGGTCAGTAGTTAAACTTCACCTCTGACATTCTTGGGAAGCAGTTGCTGGTACCACTCGCGTGAAAAGTACTATAATCTGCTTTAAAAGCAAGTTTACGACACTTTGGGGCTTTCTATAAGCAAGTATGAAGCACTATGAAGCTTTATCAGAAGTGTACAACACTTTAGGATTATATAAGCAAGTGTTTTAAGCACTTTAAGACTTTTCAAAAGCAAGCGTTCCCAAAACTAAGGTGCGTTACAAGCACAAGTTAAACATTAGGTGCTTTATAAGAAAGTGCTGAACACGAAGGTGCTTTAAAAGCAAGTGTTTAGCGAAAATGTGCTTTATAAGCAAGTGTTGTACACTTAGGTGCTATATAAGCTAGTGTTATACACTATAGCATCTAACAGTAGCTTATAAAGCACCATGGTGCTTATACGCTAAAATGAAGCAAAAATGTGCTTTATAAGCAAGTGTTGAGCATTAAGGTCCTTTATAAGCTAGTGTTAGACACTAATATGCATTGTAGCTAGTGTTCGACACTAATGTGCATTATAAGCTAGTGTTAACATTACGGTGCTTTGTGAGCAAGTGTTATAAGTGTTACACACTTATATGCTCAAATGCTTGAAGCAAGTGTTGTGAACACTGTAATGCTTAAAGCAAGTGTTGTGAACACGGTATTGCTTAAAAGCAAGTGCTAGGCACCTTGTGCCGTGAACGCAAGCGTTCGTGAACACACAAAAGGTATTGATAATACCAAGTGCTTGGCACTTAACGCTTAGAAGCAAGTGTCGTAACATTTAATACTTTAGCGTGAGTGCGATGCACTATATGCTCAAAGATCAAGTGTCGTAACACAAGGATGCTTATAAAGCGTGAGTGCAATGCACGGGTGCTCAAAGAGCAAGTGTTAGAAACACAGGAACTTTCGACGCAAGTGCAAGCACTTATTGCGAGGCAAGCAAAATGAGAAGAAAATGAAATCGATGCCTTCAATTAAGTGCGAAAATTCGTGGGTACGTCGAATCTTACGGATTGGTGGGGGGAGGGTGTAACGAGGTTGCACGAAGGTGTGTATTTTACATACACACCTGCCACACCAATGTGGTGTGGCTGTACCTTGGGTACAAAAGTAGGTGATGTGACCGTACCTGAAGTACGAAGGGTCACATCGTGGCAGAGAGCCACGTAGTCACTATACTTATTTCAAGTATAGTGACTATGCATATTTGCATGATAAAAGGCTGAGAGCCAGTAATAGTGACTAGCACTAAGTATAGGATAGGTGCTTCTATATTTAGTGTTAGAAGATAAACGTAAATATAAATCAGTTTCAAACCTGCTCTATAAGCATCACTGCTTGAGTTTTCTATTCCTCCTGAGGAATCGTATCATTGATACTAGCTCTTTGAGACCCGGTTGTAACAACCGACAGGCACAAGCTTGCGAGCTAGCCTTGGGAGGGTTTAGCACTCTAAGGCAAAAAGCTCTCTGGGCTTGGCTTTCTCTGCACGTAGTGCATAAGTAGCTTTTCTACAGTAGTTTGACTACTTCTTCTGCACATAGTGCATCTGCCATAGTGCATAAGTAGCATAGCTACAGTAGCTCGGCAACAAATGCTGCTTGATAGATGAAAACGTATAAACCACAGAAAGTAATTTTTGTTCACTAAGTCTATAATGTTCTAATTAAATGAACATCATAGTTTTCACACAATCATATGAGCAAACTTTTAAAATGTAACACAATCATACGAGCAAAACTCTTCTTTCAGCACATTATTCATGCAAAACAACACACAAAATTGATGCCCATCCGTGGTGTGTGAGTTGCGCCATATGTGACTATATCCGGTGTGACTTCAACAAACAACCCCATCAGATCACCACAGAATGTAATTCGCAAATGCATTAGCACATCTAATTTGTCACAGCAAAAATGCAAGCTGCCATTCTTTGCACGATACAATTTCTGTGTTCGGCGTTAAATATAAAAAAACGCGTAGTGATGGAAACTCGATACCAAGAATGGCTCTAAGTATCATTGAGCCCAGCACTGCTAACACTCACCCAATCTTAATGAGCCGACGGCCAACTCCAGTATCGTATGAAGTCTGTAAAGTGCCTTGTTTTTTTATTCCATAAGACGACACTAAATTACATTTGTCTTTTGCCAGGAAGAGACGTATCAAATGGTCATGTAGACGTGTTGGTGGAAGTACAAGTTGGTAACCAAGTACGTCATTAAAGCAATTTGAACATGACATTACGTAAAGCTCGCGGACTTTGACTTTACTTTAGTCAGCCACTTCCAGTGGAAACGCTTTGGAAAATAGTTATTGTAAATTTTACTTTCGGTTCAAAGAGGTGGATTTGAATTTCACCGGTTGTAATGCTTGTTTGAGCTACCTACACAGCTAGATGGTCATCACTTCCAATCAGGTAGATGAGGTAATGTCAACACGGTTTAAAAGTCGTATACGTCTGGGTTTTTCACTGAGCCTCTTCGAAAATACCTGCAAGAAACAACCCTGCATCTCCTTGTAAGGCATTATATGCCGGCCCACGAAGGGCATCAAGCAAACGCGGCGTTTGTTTTTCCATAAACAATGTTGTGATTCGAGATTTCAGACATGGTTAAGAAAAAAATGGTATGCTTAGAGTAGCATTTGGTGTGAACTATGGTGCACCTTAATATACTCACTTCTCCACATTAAAGTTGTTCGATTGCTGTTCACTCCACGTGAAAGTTTTGCAAAGCTTAATATGATTGACGGTCTAACACGATGAAGGAGCTTCCGAATCTGCCAAGCCAACTATTCGAATCAGTACTGAAGATCTCCAGGGTGCCAAAATTTAATAGGACACTTACAACAATTAACATTAAGCATATTTGCTCTCGCTTGGCTGACGACTTTTCGCTTGAAATGGACCACCTAGTGAAGATCAGTATTTAGTTAGGCTACAGTTCTTCTATGCGAAAGCGTGAAAAAAACCCTTACCTTTCAATCGTTTGGAATATCAAAACTTTCATGTAAAGCAAGGCGGCGACGCTTTGGAAAGCTGCTGTTGATAAGGCAAAAAATTTGCTAGCTCTTCGAGGCCAGGTACCAACACGAGGCATACTGCCAGGACTAGACATAGCGCCAAGCAAAACACTGCTCAAAGCTTAGCAAAATCTAATTGATAGCCAAAACAATAAACAATAGTTGACGGCAAAACCGTTCTGACTGACAACAAAGGTAAATAGTGAAGCCACTTATTTCGTCAACAATCGCGATATAGAGCTGATCGACAACGGCGTCAACGATAAGGCTAACCTGAGGCATCAGACGTGAAGTCACCGATGCCGGCGTCGCAAAGCAGCAAGAAACCGGATTAATGTACATTGATCTGTCCGGTTCCAGCTGCGTAGATTAGAGTTGAGCAAATTTCATCGGGATCAAAATTTTGCTTTTCCAAGATGTCGAAACCGCATGCCATGGCGAAGCACTATTTTTTTTTTGCTGTTATCTGCAACAATGTGATACGGATTCAACGATCAAGTCCGTTGATCGTGGCAAAGCAAGCTGTTCAAGGAGCCGCAAGAATCATTTCGAAAGCACTCACAGAGAGCATAACATGTAAAAAATCTCTCGGTGAGATAATTTCCAACACTGTGTAAGTTTGTAACGGATAGATGACCCACGAATGACGCCGAAGAAACGAGATCAACGGTGGCAGCCAATACAACAACAAAAATTTTCGGTCCAACACGTAGTTGTCACTTCACCTTTGAGAGTTCGCACAAACGTCTGGTTCTCATTTAACCAGACGACGACCTCAACACGCGGCCAAGTCAACTTACGCTGAATCACGACCAGCTGGTCACTGCCTATCTTGAGCCTTCTAAACGGTCTACACACCGTTGCTGGTCTCCTAGCTGCAGGTCAAACTTTACTGACGAACACATTTTGTTCTGCCTTGAGATCACCATCGTCACAATTGGACAATCCAATTGGAGTCAATCAATCATTCATTTCACTGTCATAAATTCTGCACTCTCCTCGTACAACCTCAACCTAACTCTTGTCTCTTGCTTCCTGAAGGCTCATTCACACAGCACATCCACATTTGCTGTAATGAGTGCAAGTCGCTACGAGATGGAGGCGTCACTACGCGCGACTATCTTTGGCGAGATTCAGCTGTGCCGAGACCGAGTTACACTCGATCCCGTAGTGATAAAGTGTGTGGACTTGTACTTGGCACTGCGACAGACGTCGCACTCGCAGGAGCTCGTACAGGAGAATGTTCAGCTTGAGGTAGAGGTGATGAACCGCGTGCGTACACTGGGTGGCCACCCGAACGTCATCAATATGCACAGCTACTTTGTGGCCAACGGCGTGCTGCACATGGTGCTGGACTACTGCGAGGGCGGTGATCTGCTGGACGCGTGCGTGCAGTCGTCTGCCACAGCAAAAGAAGTCGAGTACAAGAGCTGCAAAAGTAATAGCAACAACAATCAGAAAGAGGACGCAGTCGTAGCAAATGGAGCACGAGTAATTAATGTATGGAGCCCAGAGGACGAAAACGAAGATGTGGAGAACCACAGTGGATCCTTCTTGAACGATGTGGATGGAAACAAGCGCATGAAGGAAAGCGTTGCGCACAAGTACCTAGTGGATGTGCTTTCTGGGTTGCGTTTCCTGCACAGCAACGGCATTGCCCACCGGGACGTGAGTCTAGAAAACATTCTGATGCGCAACGGGAGTGCTGTGATTACGGATTTCGGGCTGTGCGTGCAGGACTCGTTGTTGTCATCGACGTCATCATTGCACCGTTTGACGGCCCGTGAGTTTCTCTGTGAGGAGATGGTTGGCAAGAACTACTATATGGCACCTGAGGTCGTGGCTCACGAGCACTACGACCCCAAATGCGCCGACATTTGGTCAACTGGTATTGCATTCTTCATCCTATTGACGTCGTCTCCACCGTTTGAGCGTGCAGACCCATCGGACCCGGGATTCCGGTACGTGGCGAAGCGCGGCATCAAGGCGATGTTTACGGCGTGGGGTCTTGATCAGGACGTGTCAGAACAGATGCAAGACTTGTTGGGGCGGATGTTATGTGTAGATCCAGAGAAGCGCATAACGATGGATGAAATTTGGCAGCATCCAGTTCTGCAGCGGTTGAAGGATAAATCGTTGGTGGGGAGAAGTGAACGATTAGACTAAAGCTAGTCGAGTAAAGATCTGGCGATACGTTGTACTGTAGTAGTAAGAAGTTGGTGTAGAACAAGAGAAGCGGAACTGTGACGTATTGGCCGAGGAGAAAGAAGATAATTAGATAGATGTCAGCTAGGAGTTGTGTGAATAATGGAGTATTTGAGGACGAGTGAGATGTCTTATGATTGTTCAGATGGACCGAATCAACGCTAGCACAGTAACATAGCAAATGAGTTACTCCGTATAGGTTGAATATGCAATATAATATATAGTGATAAAGTTAAGACTTGCGGATTGCGTCAACACAATGGAATTGGTGCAAGCAACAAGCAAGACTGGTGCGGCGTTAATTTTACAAACTGTGCGTCTTGAAAATAAGTGAGTGCGTTACTGGGGGGTCAATAAGTCTGTCATAGTCGTATAATGGTCGTTTTCGAGTGCTTGTTACCAATTAATCTTACACATATGTAATAAAAGTTTCTCCAAGAGCGTTAGTCTCGGTCAGCGCTTGGTTGAGGAGGCCATGAAGCCGTAGGATTTAGATTGCTGCCAAAACGAAGTCGCTTCTGGCAAGAGAGGAAGTAAAGACTTACACTGGTTAATATTATTCACTTTGTTGTGTTCTGCCTACGTGCGCTTTTTTAACAGACAGGCACAACACGTTAATTTTGGCTATCGACACGATTAAGACCTACATTCTTTATCGGCATAACGGTGTAGGGTAGTTCTTTGTCATCAGTCTATTCACGCAATAGAAATCTTAATGTTTGCTGATTGATTCTACAGACCGAAGGCCACATTAATCGCATCGCTGTGGCTAAGAACCATCAACGGCAAGAAATTGGACGTAGCTTATTGCAGTATGCTATCGCAACCTTGCGCACGAAGAGGTACGTTTGACGAGCATTCAATCGTGACTGAATTTCACTCCGTGTCTTGGTTGCATCTTATTCATATCTACTTAATGCCTTGCGCTCCAAGGCAGCGGTTATACTACTGGAAGTGGACACAGCAAATACACGGGCCATTGCACTGTACGAGTCACAGGGTTATAAAAGCACCACTGTACGCGTCGACTATTATAATCCCGGTCGCAACGCAGCTTGCCAATTCACACCTGTAATTCGTGTGGCGATGCCATATGCAAGCTATACGGAGTGACTCATTTGCTATGTTACTGCCAGCGTTGATTCGGTCCATCTGAACAATCATAAGACATCTCACTCGTCCTCAAATACTCCATTATTCACACAACTCCTAGCTGACATCTATCTAATTATCTTCTTTCTCCTCGGCCAATACGTCACAGTTCCGCTTCTCTTGTTCTACACCAACTTCTTACTACTACAGTACAACGTATCGCCAGATCTTTACTCGACTAGCTTTAGTCTAATCGTTCACTTCTCCCCACCAACGATTTATCCTTCAACCGCTGCAGAACTGGATGCTGCCAAATTTCATCCATCGTTATGCGCTTCTCTGGATCTACACATAACATCCGCCCCAACAAGTCTTGCATCTGTTCTGACACGTCCTGATCAAGACCCCACGCCGTAAACATCGCCTTGATGCCGCGCTTCGCCACGTACCGGAATCCCGGGTCCGATGGGTCTGCACGCTCAAACGGTGGAGACGACGTCAATAGGATGAAGAATGCAATACCAGTTGACCAAATGTCGGCGCATTTGGGGTCGTAGTGCTCGTGAGCCACGACCTCAGGTGCCATATAGTAGTTCTTGCCAACCATCTCCTCACAGAGAAACTCACGGGCCGTCAAACGGTGCAATGATGACGTCGATGACAACAACGAGTCCTGCACGCACAGCCCGAAATCCGTAATCACAGCACTCCCGTTGCGCATCAGAATGTTTTCTAGACTCACGTCCCGGTGGGCAATGCCGTTGCTGTGCAGGAAACGCAACCCAGAAAGCACATCCACTAGGTACTTGTGCGCAACGCTTTCCTTCATGCGCTTGTTTCCATCCACATCGTTCAAGAAGGATCCACTGTGGTTCTCCACATCTTCGTTTTCGTCCTCTGGGCTCCATACATTAATTACTCGTGCTCCATTTGCTACGACTGCGTCCTCTTTCTGATTGTTGTTGCTATTACTTTTGCAGCTCTTGTACTCGACTTCTTTTGCTGTGGCAGACGACTGCACGCACGCGTCCAGCAGATCACCGCCCTCGCAGTAGTCCAGCACCATGTGCAGCACGCCGTTGGCCACAAAGTAGCTGTGCATATTGATGACGTTCGGGTGGCCACCCAGTGTACGCACGCGGTTCATCACCTCTACCTCAAGCTGAACATTCTCCTGTACGAGCTCCTGCGAGTGCGACGTCTGTCGCAGTGCCAAATACAAGTCCACACACTTTATCACTACGGGCTCGAGTGTAACTCGGTCTCGGCACAGCTGAATCTCGCCAAAGATAGTCGCGCGTAGTGACGCCTCCATCTCGTAGCGACTTGCACTCATTACAGCAAATGTGGATGTGCTGTGTGTGAATGAGCCTTCAGGAAGCAAGAGACAAGAGTTAGGTTGAGGTTGTACGAGGAGATGTGCAGAATTTATGACAGTGAAATGAATGATTGATTGATTGACTCCAATTGGATTGTCCAATTGTGACGATGGTGATCTCAAGGCAGAACAAAATGTGTTCGTCAGTAAAGTTTGACCTGCAGCTAGGAGACCAGCAACGGTGTGTAGACCGTTTAGAAGGCTCAAGATAGGCAGTGACCAGCTGGTCGTGATTCAGCGTAAGTTGACTTGGCCGCGTGTTGAGGTCGTCGTCTGGTTAAATGAGAACCAGACGTTTGTGCGAACTCTCAAAGGTGAAGTGACAACTACGTGTTGGACCGAAAATTTTTTGTTGTTGTATTGGCTGCCACCGTTGATCTCGTTTCTTCGGCGTCATTCGTGGGTCATCTATCCGTTACAAACTTACACAGTGTTGGAAATTATCTCACCGAGAGATTTTTTACATGTTATGCTCTCTGTGAGTGCTTTTGAAATGGTTCATGCGGCTCCTTGAACAGCTTGCTCTGCCACGATCAACGGACTTGATCGTTGAATCCGTATCACATTGTTGCAGATAACAGCAAAAAAAAAAATAGTGCTTTGCTATGGCATGCGGTTTCGACTTCTTGAAAGTCATTGACCCCAACGAAACGTGTTGATCTCTTATTGTTATTCTTATTATATAAAAAGCGCTGGCGTTATGGGGTGCAGTGCTTGATGCTTGACTAGATAGCCGAATGTAAACGCTTTTCTGCGCAAATTTCGATGTAAAAGCATTTACAGTACTGTCTCAAACACAGAGCGTGCAAGTAACGTTACAGCAGAGTAAAGCAAAAATAGAGCCCTTAAAAGCTTAGGTATAAATTTGTGTCTAATATTTAGCTTATCATGCCACCTATATATCAGACTACCAACCTTATTTAAGTTGTTGAGGTTAGAGGCGTTATAGTTGAAGAATCACGTGTTTTTTAGAATCATGTCGGTCGATAACCAACTTACGATTATAATAGCTAGCAAGAAGCGAAATGAGTTAAGAACGATGATCCACTATGCCTTTACACGCATAAGGACCAGCTTTCGAAAAAAACGTTACTAGCTGCACAACTGCACTATATTGATGCTGTCGATTGAATCGTTATCTCCGCTCACAAAAGAAAAGGTGGCACCACCTTCACATAAACGAAAATGATCTGTAGCCTGGCCGATGCATAAAGTCCTGAAACCCATTTTGTGTTTCAGTCTCATTTTGACACCATTTCTTGTCAAAAGCGTATCTGTTTACATCAAGGAGCTGGCTGATCAATGTTATACGGTTTTTTCTAGTCTTCTGGAGAAACATCAACGATAGTCGGATTTTTTTGGTACAATATAAGCGTCCTTCGAGCCGGTGACAACGCGGCCCACAACCCATGCAGGCTTATCATCTAGCTTGCGCAGCTCTTTGATAAGTGCTTCGGCGTTCTCAGCGGACAGACAAAGTAGCAAACTACCTGATGTTTCTGTTGCAAAACCATCCAGCAACTTGAATGTGTTGCCAACGGCCTCATTTATCTTGACCATGTGTTTAATGATTGGCAGCGTGTGCAGCTCGAAGGAAACGTCACCCAGCTGTGACTTAGCTTGGTTGCGTGCGTGGGCAAGTATACCAAAGCCTGTTACGTCTGTTGCAGAATGTGCACCATACTAGTCAAAGAAACACAACAGCGTTAGTAACCACGTTGCCTATCATACGCGCTAGCACCAGCTTTTTCCTTTTCATCAACTTTATGCATCATTTTCGCAGCATTCAAATTGAGTCGACCCATGGATTTCGACGCCATTTGAAAGGCCACATCGGCATCTTCGTGCTTCACCACCTGGTCCACGCGCTGCCAGCGTTCAGGCTTTAACTTCCACTGAATAAGGTTCACCGCAACTTGGGTACCGAGCGGCTTTGTCAGGATAATCACATCCCCCACCACGGCATTCTCTGGACGAATGATTTGGCTCTCTGCAACCACCAGCCCATTTGGTCAGCGCAGCTTTTGGTCTACTAGCAACAAACACTACTGCTATGACCTACCGCTGCGCACACTCATTGCAACTCCACCAACAATAGGCCACGGGTTCATGACTGTCTGGCCGCCTGTGACGTTGGTGTGCGCTTGGCGTGCCAGGTCATTGAAGCCACGGATCATCTGCGTGGTGACAATGTCACGCTGTTTTTCATTCATGTCCCTGCAAACTCCGAGAATCATGAGCATGGTGTCAACCTCAGTGACACCCATTGCGTAGACATCCGACAGTACGTTGGCACAAGCAATCTTGCCTTGCATATAGGGATCCTCAACCGAAGGAAAGAAGAAATCAGTAGTAGACACAAGGTACAAGCTCTTTCCATGTGAAATCTTGACCACACTTAAGTCCATTCCTGGCGTTTCGTCGGGTTTCAGATCATTTGCCATATCGTCTAAATAGCCCAACAACTTTGCCTGAGAGAGTTTACAGCCGCAGCCTTTGAGAGCGCTGAAGTTGGTTAGCACAAAATCTGGTTCAAGACCGAGAGCTGCAGGGCCAAAAGCAGCTCCATTACGAATAGTATCGACAGGTGGTGGCCTTGTAAACTCGCGTTTAATGATTTCCTCTGTCTGCTGCGCTGCTGCCTTCATAGTATTTTTGATGCGAGTGAAAGAAATTTAGGAATTGGCGATTCCATTTTCTGATTGATTAACAATTTCTATCGATGTCCTTTTCCCTTATTTTAAACAGAATATTTGTAGTAAAGCTTCTGCTTTTTCGCGAAAGCTGAGCGTGTTCAATTGAAACACAACTTACCCTCGGTGTGTGACCAAGTTCTGGTAGTGTCGTAAACTACCTTGGCAAATATTCACTAAATCTTGCTGAATGGAAAAAGAAGGAGGCAAACTGCATGGGCAACGCCAGTGACTATTACTTCGGTCTCTAATAACCATCGATAGGACAGAACGACAAGCAACCGTGACCATCAAAACAAAATCAAAGAGTGAACACTTATTCGAGCAAAGTAAGACCTGGCACAAGTCAATTTCTCCAGCTTTGCACGTTACTTGGGTAGATGGGAAGAGGACAACCTTGCGCGCATTTATTTGCGAGCGCAACCGTCTGCCTTAGTGTGAGGCACTGAACCGACAGCAGCATCCTCTTTGGCGTTGGCAGTCAGCACAACTCTCTTGTCCGCAGACACACCGTTGAACATCAAGATATCCCTGTTTGGGTTCATTATCGGCTGGCTTCCATCGTCCGTGAGAGTGAGAAGACCAATATGTAACTCGTACAATGACGGAAGCGTTGTCAACACGTGATGGGTGGTCTTCAGAACAAGGTCATCGTTGCCAGTGCTTGCGTAGAAATCAAGTCTTGAGCCTTTACCCGTCTCGGAAGCAGAAACGGCAATGCCAAAATTATACCACGTACCAGTAATGAAATTGGTACTCCACTTGGAGTCCCAAGTGCCGCCGTTGACGTAATTGATCTTGGCAGGACTGGTTGAGGCATCGATACGGACATTAAACATGGCGGCCTCGTCGAAGAACATCTGCCAAGTGAATTTGTTATAAAACGCTTCCACCTTTTGTACGCTCGCACGAAAAAACGTCGTGCCCTTGGTGTTGCCAACGATGATTTGCACAAGTTCCGAACGGCGGAAATTGTATTGTTCCTTAAAGATAGCCTTTGCATCCACTGCAATGTTTATAACGCCCGTATCTTTATTATAACCGGGTATGCGACCCTTTTGATCAATAGAAACGTAATCCGACACGTTGCCCGAATTCCCGCCGTTGCGCATGGTCAGAATGTGCGTCAAGTACTTGTCCGTGATCGTTTTGACGGTTAAACCGTGTCCACGGCCGTCCCACGGAAGCTCCTTGCCATTTTCACCAGCGGCGGGGGCTGCGAGATACGCTGACGTAAGCGCCAACATGCCGAGAATTGCTGAGGAGAAAACCATGATGATTGTATTGAGGTGTTGGTTTGCGTGTGAATTGTAAAATGAAACTTATACTGAGCGAGTTTGATGGCAGGGTGAATGAATAGAATAGTACGAGAGATATCTCCGCTATTCAAGCCAGTCTTTGTCAACATGCTATCTAATTGCTACTGTCATGTTTTTACCACTGCCAATCTCCATCTGATCTCACAAGCTATGGCCACCAGACGTCGATGGGAAAACCGGTGCAAGTCTGGTCGCCATTACGCAAGACAGAGGTGCAGTCCGTCAGGCATATAAAATACATAAGTGCCCATAGTAACTTACGCTTATCTAGACTCTCGCATATTATTCTTAAGAATGAGGAAGCAAGATAAAATTAGGAGGAGAAACCTTTGTAGTTCAACGCAAAAGTAGTGACCAATCTGATTTCGAACAGGTTCTGAACAGTGCAGTCAATCACTCTTTCTTAACCCAGTGTAAGCATGTATCGTAAGGAGTAGCAGTAATCAAGCTAATGCCGGGATGCAAATTCAGGGCTTTGGAGGAATCCTTGCAATAAGATTGCAGATGTTGGCAATACAGATGGTCTCAAAATTTTTGACCAATAGCAGCTTCGTTACAAATCTTATGACGAGCCCGCCAGTTTTGACGAGTTTAGTTGCTGTAAAATCACAAGGCCTTCACACAAGGTAGCTCAGAGCTTACAAGAGTAGAAAACACTGGGGTATCTTATTTATTACTACATCCGGTGCATGCTCTGCCATGCAAACTGTCTCATCGCTTTGCGCAGCTTTGAATTTTTTCTGCTGCTTGAATCAACTTGATTGAGCTTCAAGGAGAGAGCAAATCCTATCGTTCCTTTTCTCTCAAATCTGAACTGTTTTTTTTTCATAAACGATTGTCCTATGATTTTACTTGAATTTACTTCGGAGGATAGCGTGACACTAGTGTAGTCAAAGCAGAGTGCTCAAACGATCTCTGCCACTAAAGCTTGGCTTTCGCCTCGTTGTACTTGGTGATGGACGGGGTACATGTGTTTAAGGCAGGACTTCTTCACTCAATGCTTGTCATATTGGTGACTTAAGTTTACGGCCAAATTTGGCGAAAGAAAACAGGTGATACATTTGCTGACTTTTCGCTATCTGGGATTCATCCAATCGACACTACGACGGCTCCAATCTAAGGTTTATTCCGCACACATCATAACATGATTTTGAAATTTTTTGACGATCGCAATGATATCAATTTAACGTGGCACTGAAAATGTCAATACAAAACGGCATCAAGTTTTTTGCTGTGGGTTTGTCGTTACCACACGCCTCTAAAAATTCCGCAACATGTTATGGCTTGAGAAATGCAAATATGGATTTTTAAGGTGGCCCAGAAAAGTAAGCCATGCTGATGTGCACAGCTGGAATCAATGCGGACACATCACCTCTATCATAACATTTGCCAACAAACGACACAACTAATGCTCGTTTGGCTATTAGTAGGGCACGTTCTGCTATGTAAAGGATTGTCCTAGACTTGGCGCAGATTGTGTGACTACTCTTTCAAAAGTTAGCCTGCAACATGCTATCGTTATCATTTTTTTATTTTATGATCTGCGACACTATATGCGACACTATATGCGCCACGGCAAATTGCGCTATCTGTTACGTTTGAGAGAAGAGCAACTCTTCTGAGGTGTCTAATCGTGACGATCTGCACCGGAGCACAGCGTCCTCATCAACCAAAACCGAATGAATATTTGCCGCTACTGAATCTTTCACAGCACGAGCCTGTAACTATAAAAACTGGTCTAAATATCTCTTACAAACTTGCCCACTGTGTCTTCATTAATACAATATGTCGCTGATCCTTTATACCGTATGTTTTATTCAATTCTTGAGCCTGTACAGGTCGTCGTTCGTCGCAATCAAGTCATTCTTGTTAGATAAACGATCCTCTCTTCTTTAAGTCAATAAGACAGATAGTTTACTTTGCGAGTCGCTGCTAATAACCAAGGTCAATGAGCCACTACTTTAACTTTTAATGACTTACTTCCTGACTTCTTAGGTCCATGGAGTGCGTTAACTGCCGCTATAACCGTCACTAGCTTTTGAAGACATGCTCGATCTTTTCGGAATTGCTTGATGGAAAAGAGCGACAGCAAGCTTCTGGCTAGCAAGCTTCAGATCGTTGGATGGCCAAAGAATGTCGGGTGTTCAGTATTGGTACTTAGAACAACTGTGGGTCTAAGGCTCACAAGAAATGGGTGATACAAACTTTAGACAGAGATGCTGATGATGGACCAGACTCTTGTGGCGCAAGCGACTTGCGAGTGTAAATGTTGAAAAGAACAAAGGACAAACTGCACTTTTTACAGACGGATCCACTGCTGACTGTAAGCAGAGCTACACTTACGTAGTATTGAGGGCTTGCGGTATCACATGATACACGCCGTACCACGGCTCTCACTTTGTTGTAATAACGAAGGTAGTTTATGCAGCGTCGAATAAACAGTGTTGCAAAATGTGCTTCTTCAGGCCAAGCAGAGTGAAGCCACGGGGGAGGTAAACATGTTAGCAGAATGGTACAGTAATTTTTTGACAGGGTTTGTGAAGATGTTGCCTTGAAGTGTCGCGCAATCTCGACTCGGGCAAGAAGTCAACGGTGTCTAGATTATTATGGTTTGACTCTGTTAGTCAGCAAAGCTTAAGCGTTTTGATCTAAGCAGTTCGTTTTCTTTTGTATAGCATTATGTGTAAGCGTGTCGTTCACAACTCTTTTTCCATAATAGTTTCATGCTTGAACCAATGTGTTCATACAATACCAGAAGACTCTTTTCTTTGTTGTCTTACCTTGTAGATTGCAGTTCGACATTGTCAACATGCAGTCGGCAAAACGTTCCTTAATCAAAGCCTTAGCATTACCATCTTACAAAGTATGATAGCTTCTATGTCAACTTGACCGTGCACATGTGCCTCTCACATGTACGTGCCAAAATGTACGCGGATAATGATATGTGGATGTGCGCAAATATCACATATTACAGCGAAATACACACAACGATCATGTCTTTTTGTGCCTGCGTTAAACCTCGTGTCATCCGGATCGAATGCAAGCTAACACGTTGAGATTCTACATGGACAAGATCTTGTCACCAACTCTGACGTATGTAAGCCTGAGCTGTATTCAGCGATCATCTGACTTGTCAAAGCTTCTTAGCGCCCCAAGTGTCCTCATTTCTCTTTATGCGCATGTAAATGCTGACTCTAAGGGAAAGCGTAGCTTCAGTGGCTAGTGCAAGAAGCCTGAATGTCCTCCGATAATATCGTCGCAAACACTTCTCTTGGAGACCATGGATTTCATCCACGTTGAATACCAATGGGGATTAGATCGCATCATGCAAAACACTCTTGGACTTGCCATTTATTTTCAAGGTGCAGCGCGTACTGGAGAGCATTCGTTCCAAGAAAAACGGTCTCTATAAGCTGGACAAAATGATGGCAAATTTGCCTTGGACTTCATCTTAATGTTGTTGAGCTCTTTGTAATGAGGGTCAATTCTTACGCGTGTTTTGTTGAAATGCTCCTCGAGTATCGTCCAATCTAGGCGGCATTCAGCAATCCAATCCGTCTCCAGTAATCGCATCATGTGCTTTCCGATAGTTTGATTATTATGCACACAAGGGCTTTATTGCTCCTAGAGCGTTTCAATCACAACGTTATCTAGTTTTGTCCAGCAATGGCATCGCGTCATCCTAGAGATACGTTTTCGAACGCAGTAAGCTACAATCTCATAAGCTCCTTATTTTAAACGAGAAAAAAGCGTGCACGGACTAGTGTATCGATCAAAATGTCTCTTCGTGCACTCTCAGCACTACTTAAAGCAAGCAAGTGCCCCATTGTCAAAGTACTGAGATCTTAGCTTATCTCGAGCGTCCAGTATGTTGTGACGCATGACTGTATCAGGATCGCACGTCTCTAAATGATTGCTCACCTATCTTATCTTTACTATGATTTGCCATACCAGAAGTTTTCTAAAAGAACAAAGGCCATGTTGGATAAAGAAGCGCTATTGCCTGTGGACACCCCCCCTAATGCCTCCCCAGCCTCGCCGCCGTCTACGTCGAATAGATGCTGCTCTATTTGCTGTTCTCCTGATCGTCGCCTGTTTTGTTGGTGCTCGTCCGCCCTCTGTGCGCACTTCTAATCCACTGTGGCTTTCGACGGACACGCGACGCTTTCAATATTTGACGTATAACGATATAAACAAGACCAAACGCCAATCCGGATACAGCATTAAGTACTCATCTCGAGGTTTTGAGATTGATGGGAGGCAAACGCTGCTGCTTGGAGGTTCCATTCATTACCCACGGAGCACTCCGGGCCAATGGGAGCAGCTACTGAGAGACGCCAAGCGAGACGGCCTCAACCACATTGAGATGTGTAAGACAATATGAACTTAGTATTATACTTTAGTATGGTAGTATAATATTGGAGTGGCTGATTTGGTATCGCTGTGGCTGTAGATGTGTTTTGGAATTTGCACGAGCAAAAGCGAGGAGTGTTTAATCTTGAGGGTAATGCCAATATTACAAGATTTTACGAACTAGCAGCAAAAGTGGGTTTATTCTTGCATGTGCGATTTGGTCCGTATGTGTGTGCGGAGTGGAGCAATGGAGGTCTACCAGTGTGGCTCAATTTCATTCCTGGGATGAAAGTACGCTCGAGCAACGCTCCATGGCAAAGTGAAATGGAGAGATTTGTTCGATATATGGTGGACTTATCGAGACCTTTCTTGGCAGAAAATGGTGGGCCGATTATAATGGCGCAAATTGAGAACGAGTTTGCATGGCATGATCCCGAGTATATTGAGTGGTGCGGCGATCTTGTGCAGCGTTTAAATACTTCCATTCCATGGGTCATGTAGGTTACTGAGACCACTTGATTAACTAACTATATATGTATAGCAAGTGAGGCCCCTTGACACTGCCTGTGATGTGCGCAGGTGCTACGCCAACGCAGCTAAGAATACTATTCTCACGTGTAATGGTAATGACTGCGTCGACTTTGCGATAAAGCATGTGAAGGAGCGCCCGTCAGACCCGCTTGTGTGGACTGAAGACGAAGGCTGGTTTCAAACGTGGCAGAAGGATAGAAAAAATTTGTTGCCAAGTGACCAGCGAACTCCCGAAAATGTGGCGTATGCTGTTGCTCGATGGTTTGCGATCGGTGGTGCTGCACATAACTACTATGTGAGTGACGTGTACTTTCGCGTTGAGGTGTAACTGACATGATACATGACAATGATTATTTATGTCGTGTTATTTAGATGTATCATGGCGGTAACAATTACGGCAGGGCTGCTTCTGCTGGAGTGACTAACATGTATGCAGACGGAGTAAATCTTCATTCAGATGGCTTGAGCAATGAGCCAAAACGATCTCATTTGCGCAAGCTTCACGAATCCCTAATTGAGTGCAATGATATATTACTGCTCAATGACCGGCAATTGCTGAATCCGCATAGCCTGTTACATGCAAGCCAGCAGTCTACTGGATCTTCGTCACAGCAACGAGCTTTCGTATACGGGCCAAAGGACGGATCTGGCCAGGTGGCATTTTTAGAAAACATGGCTAAAAAGGGGGTAACTGTAGTTTACGAGCGCAGAAAATACGACCTCGCGCCGTACTCGATGTTGATTCTCAAGGACGGAGTGCCGCTTTATGACACTGCAGACGTACAAAAGTCATTTCCAGGCCATCAATATCGATCGTACAAATCGCTGGTAGAAGCTATCACTTTGAAATGGAAAACGTGGACCGAGCTTGATTTATCACCGTCAACCCTAAGGAAACGGGTGGTGGCCATGCGGCCTTTCGAGCAACTTCGGTTGACAGCAGACCAATCCGACTATTTGACTTATGAAACCATATTCACGTTGAAGCAACTGGATGGACACACTGGTGATAACAATGATGACGCAGTGACGTTGACGGTAACATCATGCGAGGCCACCAGTATCATTGCTTTCATCGACAACTGGCCTATCGGTGAGAAACATCTAGCATACCCTGGTGGAAACTGCTCCCAAGAGTTCTTATTTCATTTGCCAGCGAATATTGATGTTGGCCGGAAGCATTACCTAAAGCTGGTGTCGATTAGTTTAGGGATCTACTCAATGGGAAGCAGTCACAGAAAAGGTATCACGGGAAGTGTCAAAATTGGGAACATGAATTTGGCAAACGACCAAGAATGGTCGATGTACCCGAGTCTTGTCGGTGAGCAGTTGATGATTTATAGTTTGCAGTGGCTGAATTCAGTACCATGGACTCCGGTTCCCCCTGTGCGTACGTTATCTCGAAATGATGTCAAGGGAGGGCGAAAATTGATGAGTTGGTATTGGACGTCATTCCGGTATCCTGCGCAACAGTCAACCAGCAAACAGCAGCCATCCATCCTGCTCGATTTGTTTGGACTCACACGCGGCCGTGCGTTTATTAACGGCCATGACTTGGGCCGCTATTGGCTCATTAACGAAGAGGGCGACTTTGTTCAACGCTACTACCATGTTCCACAGGACTGGTTATTGAAGGACCAAGAAAATCTTCTGGTAGTATTCGATGAACTCGGCGGGTCAGTTGCTGACGTACGACTCGTGTCCTCTGTGATGGTTTTAGCATGAGAAAAAGGAATGATGACATTTGTATCACCGTTAGCACCTGATGCCGGCAACAGAGTAATTGCAAAGATGGCTGCACCGGCATATAAACAATGACGCACATTTTTTCATAAACTTTGACTTATTAGCGATAGTCGAACAAGTCGCAAAAATTACATTAGAGAATGACTCATTTTGTCATTTATTTGAAATTTCTATTTACCTTATCAAATCCGATATACGTAAAACCCTATTTTAGAAATTATGTGCATTCCAAGTTAAATGTTAGTCACAATCAGCATCAAGCATGAAACACTTATGAGATCACAACCTTTCCGCGCTATGTTGGCTTGTCCAAAATAAACGAAACGCTATTGGCCTTGAACGGCCAGACCTTCGACGAAGCCTTTAATATGGTCAGAAAAAAAGATCAGTAAATTACGAAACCATTTCTTAACCAGTCCAACGCGACTTCAAGTCTGTCTCAAAAGCATCCGGTGAAATAGAGCTGGATTTTCGTATATTTTAAATGCCTATTATTTTCTTGCAAAATTACATCGCTGTGTCCAATAACTATCTGCCCGATTCTGGTTATAAAACATACAGCTAGACAGTTTTTTGACCTTGGATAAACCCGATATAGTTCAAACCGTCCACTTCTTTGAGTGCTGCTCCCTCGTTTTTCTTCTTTGCTATTGTCGCTTTTCCATTATGAGCTACACATTGCTTGATTCTCCCAAGCATGGTGAGGTTGAACACTATAATGACCTTGTACAAGAAACATCCAAGGCCGTGGGTCAATTTAATCAGGTTACACGCACTATTGCGCAGAAAATGACGCTATTTGGTACACCACAAGACTCGCGCGCCAACCATCAGCAGCTCACAGAGCTTATGGATCGTGGTTATAAACTTGTGGCTAAGATTAATCGTCGGCTGAAAGAATTAGACCAGGGCATGAAGGCTGCAAGTGGCCGTGCGCGGAAAACGCAGGTGGCCAAGTTGTCCATGGACTACAAGAATCAATTGAAACGTTTTGAGGAGACGTGCCAGAAGCTTTTGGAAGCTGAAAGAGCTGCCGTTTCGAACCTTCGTCGGTCTTCTTTGTCCTTCCGTTCGGATGATAACGATAAGCCTGTGGGCTTTGACGGGTACAATGAGGACCAAATCTACGCACAAGCTAATGTTACGAGCTACAATGAAGATGGTGCGTTTTGTAACAAGAAGACTGTGATTGAACAAATACGGGGGGAGTGGTGCACTTGTTGACTGAATATTTGGTGGTTGTTGGAATTGTAGACTTGGTACGAAGAGAAGAGGATATTCTTAAGATTAACCAGCAGTTGCATGAAGTGAATGCTGCCTACCAAGAGGTGGACGGACTCTTACAGGACCAGGCCGAGATTGTTGGTGCGTTTTGCTAATAAATTTGTGGACATTCGAAACTGCTAGCGGTAGGTGTTGGTAATTGACCTGATTATTCTTATTTTTTTCACAGTGGACATCGAAGAGAATACGAATGCGGCACAGGAAAACACGCAAGGCGCGCTGCAAAACGTGCGGGAGGCTAACCTCAAGCGCGGCTTTTGCAAGTGCTCAAAGACGAAAATGATCTGCCTTGGTGCTTTCGTGCTTTTAGTGGCTGTGGCTGTCATTTCAATCGTGGTGGCTGTTCGATAAGGTAGCCAGGTTCTGTCCGCCCACGGATGATGCCGACATCTATTGACGAAATCATTTATAATTTTTGATCCATCTACCATGAAAGGTATCATTAATATGTGCTAAGAAGAAGAGGAGTGTCTCTGGTTGCACAAACTGCGACGGGCGCAAGAAGTACCGTTAATCGTAGCGTAACCATGCGTTTTTTTGAGATTTTTTTAAAAAAGACGGTATACAAAGCAATCCTGCCAGGGTTTTTTATTAACACTACTAAGCGTTTTATCGTAGTAATAATACAGTAGGTACGTGCTTGACACTACTACGTCTGCGTCGGCTGTACTATCAAAGAGAGCAAATTCCATACTAGCTTATGAACTAGTGCTGATAAGTCTTCAATTTTGAATTTAAAAAGGCAACAGCTCAGTCTCAGTGTACTTTTCAGATATAGTTCAAGTAACTTCCAAGTGTCGATCGCTGCAACAATCATTGTTAAGCTCGTTGGTAAACTTGTAGCAAATTCCTCGTGTGCTACGAGGCGGTAGTACTGAAACTGCGTTTTTCTGCTAAAGCCATTTGAAAACGTGTAATGCGACAAGTTTTACAAATGGCTCTACTCGGCAGAACGCCTTTGAGTTGCTGCTTTTCATGGACGTTTCAATAGTAGCACCATTGAACGGGACCGATGGCTTGTCCGTACTCGACAACCATAAACCACCACTTTGTTCTCACTGCATACTATTAAGCATCCGTCAAGTTAGCAGCCACTCCGCGTTTCGATGGCGGCGCGTAACCGGAGACACATCGTTTCTCCTTTGTGGTAAATGTTAACATTCTGAGTTTGGCAAGTGCTTAAAACACATTAACGCTTTCGCCTGAATCAACGCGGCGACTTGCCAGCTTTCTTCCCGCCATCTGTCTGATTTTTTGTCGGCATGTAGACCTTCTGCACCAGTGGATTCAATGCGTACAGATATTCCAGCACCGTTCTGACCGTCAGCATTTACTCCACACTCGAACCAAAGCTGTCAAGATGTTTCTCTTGTCTTCTTTTTGTTCCACAGCAAGCAAATTTACACTCACGTACTGTTTTGCTTCTTCATGCTTGTCAGCTTTAGACACCAAAAGAATAGTCATTCAGTAGCTTTAGGTGGTGTAATTTCCACTAGCAGTCTTGGTTTGGTGATGCACTTGAGCTCAAACAAATGCCTCAGTACTTTTAGTTTCTCTCTGAATATGGCAATTAGTAGATGACTAAATATGTTTTTGCTTTTACGCTATCGATACGTGAACTTGTTGTCTGAAAACTAAGTAAAAGGCACGACATAATTCCAGTGTTGATGGTAAACGACGAGCTTACATTTCTGCTATCACTGAGAGTGTGAAAACAAGTACAACATCTACTCTGCACCTAGAAACACCTACACACAAAAGCGCCAACATCTTTAGTGAAATGAAAAAGTCTAAAACGAAGCAGAGACTTAGTAAAAGCAAAATATGGAAGCTGTAATATATTCAAGACAAAAGTAAACTTTCCATGGCAAAAGTATGATCGCATTCATCTTTTCCATTATGAGTTGTTACCTTGTGTATTTTCTCAAATCTTCTATAGCTCGCAGCTTTTTTCAGCAGCATAGATGCTGTTTACCACTTCAATTGGGCACATGCTTCCAGCCTCTTCAGTCTCTCGTAGTCTCAAAATCTCACTTAATGACACTGCTATTTAGAATTGACCTTGTAAATACGTTACGCGTTAATGATAAGAGAATGGAAAATGGCTATCAGGTGCGTATATGCGCAGCGTCGCATTTTTTCGGCATCGGACCAATCAAAAGGCCGGTGACGAGGCACTGCAACTTGCCTTTTTCGTCTTCATCACTGCTTCAGTCCTTCCTTGTCCCTCACTTGTGAAAATGACTTTTCCTCATTGTACAAACTATTATCTGCGGTCTCGGGAGAAATCCTGGCAAGCGGAAGAGGACTTGACGGTTAGTGACGAGTCGATTGCCACTTTCACAACATTTTGCCATGTGACACAAGACGAGGAAAAACCACAGGCCCTGTGCTTGCAGACACCGATCAACGATCACACACTCTTACTGCTCACGCACAAATTCATGGCCATGGTCTCACAGCCAGCAAAGCTTCTTGCTGTATTGGTAGCCAACTGTGAGGGCAGAACGTCCAAGCAAGTTTACTGGGCTAAGGCCACTGCATATCAGCAATCGGAGCTGCAAGGACTCTGCACGTCTTGGTACCGCATCATGGAGGACATCAATCACTATGAGCTGAGTGGAATCGACTTAATGTTACTGAAGGCGGTGCTGTATTACTGGCGGATGTGGCAATTTGTATGCAGCGCGTGTATCGACGCAGTCATATCGATTGAGGAGTCGGCGACGAGTCTTCCACCTGCCACAAACCACGATCCCAAGACGTGGGTTTCTCTCCTCCACAAGCGCAGAGCAGTGTCGATCTCCCCCTTCGCTCGAGGACAAATGCTCGGACGCCTCGTCGCAAGGCATGATCCTCTCAGGCTCGGGGCTGTCCAAGCGGTCACGGATCACCAAAAAGAGCAACGAATTCCTCGTCGCGTGGTTTCTTGCCCACAAGGACAACCCGTACCCGTCTCCAGACGAGCGGGTGGAGATCGCTGAGAAGACTGGACTAGCGGAGCAGCAAGTACGCAACTGGTTTGCAAACATGCGCAAACGTCACTGGAAGCCCAACCGCGCAAACGCGAAGAAGCCGCGTTGTCTGCTAGACTATGTTCTGCGTCAGTCGGAAGCATGAGAAGATGAGGAGAAGAAGAACATCCTTTGTACTAGTCACATAACCTCATAATAAATCTGTACGCGTATCCGACCTATTGTAACACGGACAACTTAGCAACAAAATGTCAGCACCCAAGTTTAGCAGCTACCACCACATTTTTTGCTTTGTTCACTGTATTTCTTTTGATTTAGTTGAAGCTGTGTATGTTGTAGGGGTGTTGTACGAGATCTTGACTATCAGTCTTCTTCCAACGTCGGAGCCTCGCCGATCTCACTCTTGACGTATTTGTACTTGCCACGAAACGTTTCCTTCTGAGGTCCAGCAGAGACGGAAGTTAACGTCACATTCGTAGGTTGGTAGTTCTTGAGTCACGCGACTGGCTGACATGAGTGAAGAAGCTTTTGAGCGTTGTCAGGTTTTGAGATGGTGGGATTGGCTAAAATAGTGATATATTTGACGAATACACAGACAGCATACAGTAAAACCGTGCTATTTACAGTATATCGGTAGCATCACGTCTTTTTACCCCCATATGACTATTACGAACGTTCGGCAGAGACTTGAAGCACCAAACGCAGTGCAGGCACGTAGGGGATAGATGCTGACAGCAAATGGGTGTGGATATATTATCTGAGGTATTATACGTGAGTATGACTAGCAAACATAACGATGAGACGACATAGAAGAATTGTAGTACGAAAAAAACAGAGGTTTTTGTACAAGCTGGTCCGAGAAAAAATGGTGGGCAATATCTATGAGGGTAGCCTTTATCCTGATCATAGCAGCTTTTCTCGACTGATACAACATTCCAAGCCAGATGATTCGCGTTCAGTCAATGCTCACGTCCAGCGTGGCGCTACTCGCCGCGCTGATGTCTTTTTAGTGCCCACGCCGCAGATGATCAGACCTTGCCATGGGATGGCCGATTCCGTTACCTGACGGTGGCTTCGCTCACAGACAAGTACCTGACTCACATTTTGACCAACCGCCAAAACGGCACCGTAAAACCGGACCAGTGGACGACCGTCACAACGCGCGGCCGCTCGCCTTTTAACGGCGATACGGGCGTTGCCACGATTGCCGTCGACTCGGAGGCTATATTTGGCGGTCAAAGCAACTTCTGTCGCTCAGAGCTCGTGCAGAATGTTGCGGGTAATACGGTGGGCACCACCTTTTTTCGCGTGAGTCTAATGAAGGAAGTCCCGTACATTAACCTGCATTCGTGGCAGGTTGTGTTTTGTGAGTCCCATTTGTTTGAGATCCGCATCGACGCGTCCGTGAACCCGGTTCAGCTGGTTTGGTACACTGGCGGAAGCACTGAGGCCCGCTGGTCCACCGAATTTAAGACTAAGACGTGGTACAATTTTGGCATTGCCGTGTCTGCGGGGAAGCTGGCTCTGTATTTCAGTGAAGGAGACGACGCCCTGGCACTCACAAAGACTGAAAGCTACAATGGTGAAGTTCCTAGGAACTATGAGTTTAACTTCGGCCAGCTCACACTTTCGAACGATGGCAGTCCCGTCAATATGGTGGAAGGTGAGCAGGATGTGCTGCTCTTCAATGGCGTGTCAGTCGAGGACAGTATTCCCAGCGGCACCAGCTCGAGCACATCAACCAAGAGTTCGACACTAAATTTCTCCAGTGTCTCGGCTTCAGCTACTGTTTCAACGACGCCGACGGCCGCCGCTGATACTGATACCGCTACAGCGACGGCTTCCTCGGTGAAGACGCCTGCTGACGAGACGACTGACGCTAGACGCTCCACGGATCCGCCTGCATCTACCAGTGAAAGCGATGGTGATGACAACGACGCTGCTTCTACTAAGAAAGCGCCTAACGGTACAGACGCGCCAATAACCAAGAAATTAGGCTGCAAGGTTCGTCGCAACTAGTGAGTCATCCGGACGCATTAGATGTATATAGTAAGTAAATACATTTGCTTTTGCGACGTTCAATGTCAATAAATCCAGCGCAGGTTGATAGCAAGTATACTGCTCTTAGAGACACATTGAATCACGACAATACCAGCGTTGTATCGAAGATTCGCACTGGTCGCAACGAAGACTCAAAGCCCGTTCGAGCTCGAATAGACAGAAATCAAAGTGGTTATCGTAAGCACATTTCATCATGGTGCTGAACATCATTGACTATTAAAGTGCTACAGTTTTAAGAGTAAGGAAACACAAAGGATAGCACGCATTAAGTCGATGATGCACCGACGAAGTTTAAAATGCAAATCGTGAAACTAAGCTCGACAATTGTTTGCATACGAAAAAGCGCGTTTTACATTACCTCTGTTTGATGTTAACTGAAGATGTATGTCTCAAAATCACTTACTCGTTCAGTCTTTGAATACAATGTTCCTTAATTACGTCTTCTGTTGTGTCTACGATGACAGCAGAACTATCTAACACGGAAGCTACAAACATTACTTATTTGGGTTTCAAACAAGGTTGACTGAACAGAATCCACACTGTAGCGTAAGATAATGTGGTTTCATTTTGGCAGCTTGATCATCAATATTCCGTCCTGCGTTATCGACATCGTTCCCATATTCCGGAAGAAATGAACCCGCTTGGCAAATAAAAAATACGGCACACCACCTTTAAATTATCATATATCCCACATCTCCGATAAGATTAAGATTTTCTAGTAGCAAGAGGAAATGATGTGTAATATGTCACAAATGTAGACAAATTAGCACGTATGTCTCCAATCTCTCTCATCGTCGCCACGGCAAACATACGCGTTGTTGTAGGTTGATCACGCCTTCCAGTGAACAACGCGCTACCACCCACCACTATCACCGCAAAAGTCCGTGACGGTAACAGTCATCAAAAATCTAGACATTTACAGCTTTTTCGCTACCATATTGTCGGCCATAGAAGCATCTTAAAATGCCACGATGAAATAGAACGGGAGCATCTTTTATCACCAACCATTCTTAAGCAATTTAACATTATCCGTATCAACAACAAGGTCGCAAATAATGTTCAACGCTGTACTACGGGGAGCAGTTGCGTCTTTATGTGATTACAAATACCGTTGTCGCACAGAGTATTCATATGTCGCCGGAATAGCCACATTTATTAAAAATAAACTCAGAGACGGCATTTTCACGATCAAGTCTCCGCCAGCGCTGAAATGTGTGGCAATAAAACTGATGAGTCGTCAGTTAGCGCTGCCTGCTTGCAGTGCTAGAGACGTAAAAGCAGGGGAAAAAAGTCAACCAGCACGGACCCTAGCCATCAACTTTCACTTCCACGTGAGTGAAAAATGCTCTTTGTCTGTCAAGATTGATTGTATTAAAAGGTGTCAATCTAAAAATAAGACCCCAATATTATTGTAAACTGTCTGTGTATTCGTCATAGATATCACTTTTTTAGCCAATCCCACAATCTCAAAACCTGAGGTGTCAAGCTCAACGCTCAAAAGCTTCTTCACTCATGTCAGCCAGTCGCATGACTCACCTTGTTAAGGATCTCGCAGGTTATGGTGCGTGTTCATTTTAAACTTTCTTTTGTATATGTGTGTATGCTTCTTCATCATTATTATTAAATGTGTCATCTCTTTCTCCTTCCTGTCTTCTTATTCCAGCTCCATGGGGTGGCCCCAGTGTTTTGCTGGTCGGTTGGATGGCTTGGCCCGCACTATCACCCGCATTTAAGGAGGAGACGCTAGGCCTCAAGCCTACGAATGTGACGTTAACTTCCGTCTCTGCTGGACCTCAGAAGGAAACGTTTCGTGGCAAGTACAAATACGTCAAGAGTGAGATCGGCGAGGCTCCGACGTTGGAAGAAGACTGATAGTCAAGATCTCGTACAACACCCCTACAACATACACAGCTTCAACTAAATCAAAAGAAATACAGTGAACAAAGCAAAAAATGTGGTGGTAGCTGCTAAACTTGGGTGCTGACATTTTGTTGCTAAGTTTTCCGTGTTACAATAGGTCGGATATTATGTAAAAGATACGTTTAGGAAGTCGGATAGAAGCAAGACAGTGTAGAAAACTAGGTTGCTTAATTAGTAAGCGTAATTGGTGAGAAAAAATCAATGTTGGGCCTCGCAAGTCTAGTCTATCCGTGGTGATTATAAAGCTAAATTAAACGGAGGTTTGTTTGTACATACACACCTGCCACACCACAATGGTGTGGCTGTACCTTAAGTACTGTGGTATATTGATGTGGCCACACTTAAGGTACGAAGGGTCGCATCGTGGCAGAGATCCACGTGGTCGCTATACTTAGTTAAGTATAGTATCTATACAATGTTACATATTAAGGGCTACAGAGCCAATATAAAGTGACTAGCACTAGTATAGAGTAGGTGCTTCTATATTTAGTGTTAGAAGATAAGCATAAGTATTAATCATTTTCAAACTTGCTCTGTAAGCCTTACAGCTTGAGCGTTCTATTCCTTCTAAGGAATCAGTACCTTTGATACTAGTCTCTCTGAGACTCGGTTACAACCGATAGGCACAAGCTTACGAGCTAGCCTAGAGGGTTAAGCACCTTAGGACGTAAAAGCTCTCTGAGCTTGGCTTTCTCTGCACGTAGTGCATAAGTAGCTTTGCTACAGTAGTTTGACTACTTCCTCTGCCATAGTGCATTTGCACATAGTGCATAAGTAGCGTAGCTACAGTAGCTCGGCTACACCTGGTAGCATTGTAGTCAATCCCGCACCTGGGTTTGCGACTACTTCTTTGTGTGAGAATGTACATCGATGAGATGTCAGCGGTTGGCCTGTTACAGGCACAACAAGAAGGGTTGTAGAAGCTGCTCCCTATCTTTGGCCCTAAGGGCGTGGAGTACCTCATCGCCTAAGGCGAAGAAGAGGTTAACAAGCGTATTCATATGTTTAATGAATATAATAAAGCTCTAGTCGAGCATGTAAAGGCACAGATGCCTTCTTCTGCGCCTTCGCCCATGGGCAAGAAGTGGTCCGCAGACCAAAACCCATACAAATGAAAGTCGATAAGTTTGACGGCAAAGAAGGTGACAACCTTATGCTTTGGTTCCAACAGGTCGAGTCGGCTATGTTTGTAGCCGACATCACCTATGAGCCGTACCGTGCGGGCTTTGCCATGGGAAAGTTAGGTGGTTTAGCCAAACAGTGGGCATTCACATGTGGTGCATCATTGCAAGATGCTTTTTCCACATGGGTCGATCTGAAAGTTCAGATGACCCGGCAGTATGCACCGCCAAACCAAGCACGCCGTAACCGGTTGCGGGTTTTGGCGTGTCACCAAGGCAAGCGTGAGCTTGCAGTATATGTGCAAAAGTTGAGAACTCTAATTGCTGCCATGGTCATAAACCCTATGCCTGGGGCAGTGACCGTCACGGTATTCATGGAGGGCCTCCGAGTTGGCGTCGCCAGAACGGAAGTCTTCCGGGTCAACCCGTCCTCATTCGAGGAAGCTGTTGGAGTGGCATAGAATGCCAAGACCAACTTTTTAAGGCCGCTAAACCTGCCACATATAACTACTCGTCTGATGGTCTGTACCCATGGACTGTAGTCAAGTGGAGGATGAAGAAGCTGAACTTCAAGCTGCGGAGCAGCAAAGTGTGCGCAGATGTTATATCTGCAAGAGCACAGGCCTTATGATTGATGGCAAAACATCCTGCAAGAAAGGCATATTTGGCCCCGAAGGACCGACGCCACGTGTGTAAACTCTCTGGATTGCCGCGGGGAAAAACGGTAAAGCCCAGTAGGCGCGGGGCGCCCTACTGGGGAAAAACTGAGTCATGTTGAGCCTGTAGGAGGTAGAAGTAAACAGGGCCCAGCCCCAAAGAGATCCGAACTTTCAACAACAGAACGAGAATGCAAGTCAGGCTTGCTGGTCGTCAAAGTGACGATTAAGGGCTATGATAAGCCATGGATCATTTTGATCAATTCGGGGCATCGGGCAATTATGTGCGCCGTGCCACCGTGGAAGGTAGTCAGCAGTATACTGAAGCGCATAGAGCACGTGATAGTGACACATTCACAGTTCGCTTAGCGACGAGTACGCGTGTTACGGTACCCGAAGTCCCGATGGACTTAAGTGTAAAGTTCTTGGACTTTAACAGCATGAAACGCTGTTTGGTCTTAGACCTGGATGCGAGGTATGACCTCATCCTACGCATTTTATGGCTAGAACTTCATGAGTTATGGATTTATTGGAGGTCGAAGACCTTAGGCGCAACGCGCAATGCTCCTGGTGGAGCTCTGGAGAGTCATGAACCTACCTCTGCTAGGAAGCAAAAGCGCTTTTGGCGCGGATATTGGACCGAGTCGGTCAATATGTTGGATGTCGGAATATCCGACTTTGTAGACACTGTAAATGTCGAGAAAATCGTCCTGGGCGAGGCCCAATGACTGTCGACAGTGTGGTTGAGAACCCACTAGATGGCACATATGACATGTGTTATGAGAATGATGTTACATCATTAAATACCGAAAGTGGTGTTGGTCGCTGCAAGCCAAGATGTCAGGACATGAGTCCAAGTGACATGATTGATGAGGTACTGACCCTGGATGGTCCAGTGAAGTCACAAATGGATGTTGTCTTTGAGGACAACGAGGTGCATGCACCTAACGACGAGGTACTGGCCCTGGAGGGTCGGATGAAGTCAAAAATGACGGTTTTCTTTGAGGATAACGAGGTGCAAGCACCTAGCAACGAGGCACTGGTTCAAGTGGGTCGGGTAAAGTCAAAAATGACGGTTGTCTTTGAGGACAACGAGGTGCGAATACCTCGTGACGAGGCATTGACCCAAGAGGGTGGGGTGCAGTCAGTAAACGAAGTGGTCTTTGACCTTGAGATGTGTACACCTGTGGACGCTGATGCGTCGGATGCTGAGAGCATCATGAGTAGCGATGATGATATCGTGAGTGACGGTTATAGCGAACAGCTATATACACTCGTCAATGTTTTGGCTGGGGATGCTGAAGAGTCGGTGGCTCTTTCAGCAATACCCGCAGTAAGTGCTCTGTTAGAGCTGGACGAGTTGTCCTTTGCCGAGTTTGGCATTGCCTTACAGGCAGGCGACATCGCCGAAGTGGTCGTTATACGACCTGAGGAGGAGTTAAACTCCTCATCGCTTTTGGATAAAGCAGTTCTTGAGGATACCAAGAAGTCCTGAATGCGCGCAGTGGATCGCAGATCCTGAAGGATCCTTCAGATCCTTATTTTCCTTGTTGAAGGAATATGGAGATGTTGTCTCCAGAGAACCTCCGACGAGGTTACCTCCGGATAGAGGTGTACGTCATGAGATTGACTTGGTTCCAGGAGCCAAATACTGTGTGACGCGACAGTAGCCGCTGCCACGAGAACAATGTAACGTCATTGACGAGTTCTTTCGTGCAAAGATCGCGGCTGTCATGGTGCGTGAGAGTAAATCTCCACACTCTGCGCCCACGTTTAGTGTGAAAAAGCTCAATAGGAAGTGGCGAATAGTGCATGCTTACAATAAGCTAAATGCAGCCACTATCACACTCAAAAAACTCAAACACCTATTCCTCGCAAGGATTCTTCAGAACAATATGGTGGGATGTACGATGTACAGTGCCCTCGACTTACTCGATGGATATTACCAACTGCTCATGCGAGCTAGTGATATCCCGCTGACAGCGGTCAGCACTCCGAGATGTATGCTCTGGGAGTGGTTAGTGATGCCCCAAGGGCACCTGCAACGTTCAATCGTCTGGTGACGCAGTTGTTTCGGCCCCATAGGGCGTATGTACAGACATACTTTGACGATATATTCATCCATAGTCGAGCCGAAAATGGCAAGACTGATGTGGAAGACCACATCGAGCACCTGCGAGCTGTGCTCGGTTGCATGAGGATGCATAAGTTATATGCCAATATTGACAAATGCATCTTCGGTGCGGAAGAGATTTACGTGTTTTGAGATGCTTCACTGGGAAGCTAGGAATCCGGGCAGACCCTGTTAAGGTCAAAGCCATAGTGGATTGGCCGGTTCCGAGGAGCCAGAAGGACCTCCGCAAGTGGTTGGGTTTGGTAAATTACTTGCGCAAGTATAGCCACAACTATGCGGAAGTGGCTAGGCCATTGTCAAGTCTCCTTAAACAGGATGTGGAATGGTGTTGGAACACCGAGCACCACGAGGCTTTTGAAGCCATTAAGGAGAGTATCCTTCAGACGCCAATTTGGGCTCTACCTAATCTTGATAGCCTGTTAAGCGTCGTATGTGACGCTTCGGACTTCGCTATTGGCAGTGCATACTTGCAAGCTGAAGCTAAGAGTTGCAAACACGTGATCGCGCTTGAATTCACCTGATTAAAGCTGCAGAGAAGAACTATCCAGTTTATGACAAGGAGCTACTTGCGATGAAGTATGCCCTTGTTAAGTTCAGGGTACACCTGTTGGGCTCAAAGCCGTTTGTGATCTATACCGATCATATGTCATTACGCACAGCGACACAGTCGCCTCATCTCTCGCAGAGAATGGCTCGTGGCTCTCCGTTTTCGCGGAGTATAACTCTGTAGTGATGTATAAGCCGGGAAAACAGAATGTTTTGGCTGACGCGTTATCGCGTAGACCTGACTATGAGCTTGCTCATCTCACTGTTGTGAGTTCTCAGTTACGAATCGTATCCGTGTAGCGTATGCACGCAATGAGACATGTGTTGCCATTCTGCAGGCGCTAGGTAGGGCAGAGTTTGAAAACTCAAAGGCGAAGTTGTCACCACGTAATCGTGTGAGATTACATCGTTATGCACTGACTGATGGTCTGTTGTACTATATATATTACATGGCCGGATGACCAGCCTCGTGTTGTGGTGCCTCATGATGACGAT